AGCCTGTTGGAAAAGGTAGGTTTTAAGCTTGCGCTTGAACAAAGACAACTCAGAAGTCAAACGCAGGTCATCAGGGAATTTGTTCCAGACTGCTGGAGCCGCGTCACCCCAGTGCTTGTGTCTAGATTGAGGGACTTCAAGAAAAAGCTTCCCCGTTGACCTAGTGGACCGTGTTAGCCAACGTATGGACAAGGAGTCAGAGAGATAGGCAGGACCTAGGCCACGGATACTTGTGAATGTGAACAGTATGATTTTGAATTGTATTCTGAAAAACACAGGAAGCCATTGCAGTTCTAAGAGAATGGTAGTAATATGGCCTCACCTCGATGTGTTAATGAGGAGACGGGCTGCAGAATTTTGGACTAGTTGAAGACCAGCAATGGAGGACTTGGATAAACTGACATACAGGTCATTGCAGTAATCAATGCGCAAGCTTATAAGGACATAAATTACTTTTTCCAGGTCAGAGCGGTTTAAAAATTGTTTCAGCCTGGAAACAGCCCTAAGTTGATGAAAACTTGACGATCTGTTTGTCAAAATTCATGTATTCATCGAAGATGACACAGAGGTTTCTAACATGATGCTTACGTCTAATGGCCAACTGACCAAGGTCGATCGCAAGGACACCTGGGTGGTTTAAGGGAGTAAAAACAGCACTCAGTTTTGTCTTCATTTAGCAGCAGTGAGTTGTCGGAGAGCCATAGTTGGAGGTCATTGAGGTAGCTCAGCAGACATGATATGCTAGAGTTGGAGTCGGGACTAATTGGGAGATAAATCTGCACATTGTCAGCATAGCAATGAAAATGATGTTCATGCTTGGCTAAAATTCCTCCTAGTGGTAGCATGTATAATGAGAATAGGAGTGTCCCCAGGACAGATCCCTGGGGGACACCACTTCAGAAATGAGCTTTGTGGTTTCTCTGCTCCATCACACTTGATTCGGAGGTTGAATCACCAAACAGTGGTCCTTCAACGAGAGGTTCAGAGGTGACTAGCTGAGGTCTTCCAACCAAAAGTGACCTGCCAAATATTGATCAGTTAGTCATTGATTGCTTAGTTTAAGGCACATGTGTCAGACACAAGGCCCACGGGCCTGATGTGGCCCGCGAGATAAATATCAAAAATATATTAAAACTGACCTGCTGGCCAATTTTACTGCAAAGACAACAACTCCCATGATTTTGCGGCGTTAGCGCGGAGCCGAAGCGCCCCCCTCCTTTGTGTTTCCTTTTTCCAGCGTCTGCTGCCGGTGTCTGCAGCTACGCTGTCTCGGACAAACTAAACACTCTTCTCACTCAGCTCCGAGTTTACTCAGCTATTTTACGACGTAGAAGCCCAGAAACAGAGATTTTAACCGCTCAGTAATGTGTTCACGACTGAAAGAGAAAGTTTTCCAAATAACCTTCCAGACAGAGCTGATGTAACTCCAGCGAGCAGCGACACGCTCAAGTCAGCATGACTCTGTGGCTGCTGTAGTTTTTATTTTTTCCTCCCCGACACACAGCAATGTGGTCAAGCTGCTCAGAAGCTCTCCATGTTCAGCAGCACAAACCTGTGTGAGCACCTGTTGTCATCTAATGTTGTCATTATTTTGAAGATGAACAAAACAACAGGAGTCTCCTCCTCAGCAGAGCTCAACCCCATGATGCAGGTATCTGGCTGGAACAGGAATTTGAGTTTGACACCCCTGGTTTAAGGGCTGCTGAAAACAGACTTGTTGAACACATATACGGGTGATACTTGAAAATTTTAAATTTTGTGCAAAATTTAATATTTTTCAGTTTTCAACTGAGAGACCGTCTAAAGCAGGGGTTACTAACTTTTGTGAAACAAAGAGCTATTTTGTGGTTATTGAGTCATATGAAGGACTACCAGGTTGACCTTTGAACTAGAATAGATAAGAGTTAAACTAACTCTGTTTAATAAACAAATTTAATAGAAAAAAAGAAAGGTGTAATTTTTTAATCTATATTAATGTATTTGTGATTAAAAAGATGGCAGCTGATTGTCTTTTATTTTATACTTGTGCAATTTAGAGAAAATGCCTGTGGGCACCTTATACTGTCTGTTTCCTGGTTTGTGACCTTTGATCTAAAGGCTCAGGAACCCTTTGCAGGTGAACCTTTTCACAATCTTCTAATTGTCTCAAATTTTGAATGTGGGTTTTCATAAGCTGTAAGCCGCAAGTATCACAGTTATAACAAATAAGGAGTCTATCTCATTTATTAGTTTCACCTTTTATGTTGAATCACTAAAACAAAACAATTCTTACATCATATTCACATTTTTAGAGTTTCACCTGTACATGTAAGTCATCTTATGCCACTTAACACACACGTTAAAGAAATGTAGGACTTTTTGTTTCCAGATGCTTAAATTGAGTATCTGAAGTATATTTACCTTACCTGGTGTAGATAGCCCCTTAAACAGCCATAGTTTTGAGATAGTGGTTAGTTTTGAAAAGATGAGCTCAACTCATCACAAAATTACTTTAATCAACTCCTGTACCAAATAATCTAGACTGAATGCGTGCCTTGTGAGTCGTTTTCTGTGGAGGGAAAAAATTCTGGTGCTACAAGGGATACATATTTTTATTTAATTTTTTTAAATTCAAACATCTGCAGAAGCACTTGGAAAACTCCAACTTGCTGCTCCACTGAGATTAGCCATTAGCCCCTCTGTCCAGGCAGAGTGTATCTGTTTCTCCTAACTGAGGTTGTTCAGCTGGTAAGATTTGAACCCTTTCACAGAAACAAACCTCTAACAATCAAGTTAGAGTCATTTAGAGCATCAACACTGTTGTGACCATGTTAGCTGGGGCTTTAGTTCCATATGTAACATGATGTAAGTGGTTACTTTTAATAAATGACCATTAAGATGTGATATTCTATATAAATATGAATTATCAATATCATTGATCTTGGGAAATTTGATCTTTTTGGTAGTCCAGGGAAATCACATCTTTGTAATAACTTGAAAAAGAGGCAAACATATAGTTTATAAAAATCTATTTAATGCTATAGTTCTACTACTAATGATGATGCAGAACAAATTATGATGAATGATGGTTGAAACAAGATAACTAAGACAATGCATTAAATGATGGAATGTAAGCTTAGATGTTATGTAGCAAAACCTGTTTAACCCTCTGGAGGCAGGTGTTGCAGATTTGCAACTTTTAAGACAATATAGGGAGGAGCTTGACCATGTAGAGCCCTGAAAGTTATAGTCAGGATTGTAAAATGGACTCTAAAGTTAACGGGTAACCAGTGCAGAGACATTAGAATAGGAGTGATGTGTGCTCTTCTGTTTGCTCCAGTTAGGAGCCTCACTGCAGAGCTCTGGACCAACTGAAGGCGGTCAAGGGCTTTTTTGTTAAAACATGTGAAAAGTGTGTTACAATCTATAGACGGGATGAGATTAAGGTGTGGAGAACCATTTCAAGTTCATGTTTTGACACCAACCTTTGCACTTTGGTGATATTTCTTAAGGGATAAAACCAGTTTCGGACCAGTGTGTATGAGTGGCCTTCAAGAGACATTGATTGGTCAAAAACAACAACCAAATTACTCAAGTTTGACTTGACGGCAGAAGATAAATGATCAAGTTGTTGGTTAATCAGGGGAACTTTGCTCCCAGGGGCAATGATCAGACATTCAGTCTTTTCAGAGTTTAACTCAAGGAAGTTATCTTCTAGCCACCTGGTGATAGCTGATAGACACTCTAGTAATTCAGACAGCTTATAGAACTCAGAATCCTTAAAGGAGCAGTACAGCTGAATGTCATCTGCATATAGGTGACAAAAGACATTATGAAAAGACTCAATTATCTGTCGAAGAGGGTGTATGTACAGCAGAAATAACAGTGGACCCAAAACAGAGCCTTGGGGTACCCCACAGAACAGATCAGTAGAATCTGACATGATTTGGTTTATGCAGACACTGTAACTTCTGTTAGAAAGGTACGATCTAAACCAGTCTAGAACAGTTCCAGAGATACCCACAGAGTCACCAAGTCTGTTAATTAAGGTGCTGTGATCCATAGTGTCAAAAACTGCAGAAAGATCTAACAATACTAACATTGTGAATTCCCCGTTGTCTGCAGCCATCTTGATGTCACTGGAAACTCTAAGCAAAGCTGTTTCTGTTGAATGCTTTTTACTTTATATAGCTCAAAATGGGAAGCCGGCAACATTTTTTTTCTGATCAAACGTGAAGAAAACCTGAGAATTTGTGGTTCTTGATTTGTGTAATTGGGTTTATTTACTATCTTGACTCATGGTGCCATCGCCCAACTGTGTCTAAACTTGTGTAATAAATGTTAGCTCATATTTTAGGTGTAGTTGTGTTAGATTGGTCTCTTTGTTTCCTGTTAGTAATGGAGGATTATCTCAGTCCTCCATGAGTTATATGTTTACACAGCTGAGTGAATTATTGATGAATGTGACTCTGTATATAGACCCTAAAAGTGATGAGAGCCAATCATGCAGATCTCATGATCTCTGAGATCTCATCATGCAGAGGGCAGTGTGCCTGCTCAAACACAGACACAGCAGGTTTGTGTTTCAGGAGGTTTGAAACAGTGCTAATTAATAAAAGATCTTGATCTAATTACCTACGAGTCGGCCACTGAGAAAACAGGATTTGTGCTTCTGTTTGTATCTGTGACTCTGAGGTTTGAAAGCCTAAAAACCCCCACCAGAGTTCCCCAAGTAGGGAAAACTAAGCAGAAAACACAAAAACAGACTAAAACACAGCCTCCTTTTAAATACTACAAATTAGACCTCTCCGAAAAACAATAAAAAACAGGATACTGTTATTTTGATAGAATCCAAAACATTTGACATGTGGATATAACATTTACAAAATAAAATAAAAAACACAATGATTGAAAAGTTTGCCTTTTCTAAATTTGTCAAGTAAGAATTTTTGTTTATCATTTTAAAAATAACCTTGTTACTGAGCTTTTTTACTCATCAATGTGCAATTCTCCTTTTGCAGAAGGCTTCAGGTGTCTCAGTGATCTGATGATTAACAATCCCAGTGCTTTCTTCACACTAGTCTGGACATTGAACAGCTCACGTTTCCATGCTGAAGCATCTCCCGTGCCTCTCACAAGCAGCAGCTCACCTGCCCCACCCCCCTTCCTCTCTGCTTCCTCGCTCCGGCCTGCTGCTCTGTCTGAGCCGTTAAAGCACCACACACCAGGATTATCGCTCAGTCACAGAGGGAAAACAGACACGGATGGACTTTGCTTTGGGCTCCAGGGAGGAAGATCGCAGATCTGTTGTCCTAGAGACCGACTGGTTTTCCTCTGGACGCACCATCAGGGCGAGCAGGCAGCACCGAACAGAGATCAACACACGAGAGGGGAGGTGATGAGGAGTGTGGCTGTCTGCTAGAGGAGCCCACGTGTTCCATTTTTTTCCCTCCAAGCTTCACCCTTAGCCGCTGCTCAAGGAGGACTCGAGGTAGGCTTTTGTTGCTGTTGTGCGGGGCTGTGTTCTCGCAGACCGTGGCAGCCTTTGTGCTGGGTCTGAATCAGTCGGATGTGTTGAGGCAACAGATTTGGAAGTCTGAGTGCCTCCAGCAGATGAACTGAGACTCATGACGCTCTTGCTTGTTTGTGAGGATGAGGATGCTGAAGAGAATCTGTTGTTTGTACTTTTAAATGAGGAGGAAGAGTAAAGGTTGTGTCAAAGCTGTGTGATGGTAACTGAACATTGGAAGATGCTGCTTCAATTTGAGCTTTTTAGGAAGGTTTTATATTCTCCATAATAAATAATTCATCAGGTTGTGTACTTTGATTTAGAAACAGATTCATGTTGACTTTTATGAAAAGTAGAGGCATAAGCCAAGCACTGGCTATCTTAAACAAAAGCCCCCCCCCCCCCCCCCCCCCCCCCTGCATGCAGCTAATGGCTCAACCAAGCGTGATAAACACCCACTTCTCTACCCTCCATGCTGCATTGCTGTAGAAGCTTTAGGTCGTCATGAAACTGTTGGAGCTCTGCTCTGGAAACTAAACCATTAACTATAGATTTTGACTTTTTTTTTGGATGATTGTGTGACTCGGCTCACTTCCTCGTTTAATCTCAGCCTTTTATTGTGAAAATATGTTGCTCCATCCATCCTCCGGTCCACGACTGACCCAAATACCCACCACGCGTCCCACCCCTCCCCCTGACCTCCCATCACAACACATCATGGCTGCTTCTCCTTCTATTGTTCGATAGTCGCTGCTTCCGATTAAAATTGTTTATTAATCAGCTTTTGGGTTTTTTGGAATTTGTTTCATTTATTTACTTTATTAAGCAGTGATCAAATAGTCTAGGCGAATGTAAAACTGATTCCTAATGTTTCAGAAACACCACGTTTTACTTTTATTATTATTATTTAGATGTAGTCAGATAACTGTTTGAGGAGGGAGAATACCAGTTTATGTCGTAAAGGGTGAGAAAGTCTTAAGGACACTCTCTACCACACACCAGAAAAATATTTGTTGATTTATTGGTTAAAACAAGAAAAAAGGAGTCATTTATTTATGTCGCCACTGATGGAAATCACAAATACATGACCATGAACACTCTTCTTGCCTGCTGGTGGTAGTTGGAGTTGCTCGGAGGCATCGGTTCAACAGCCTCAATTCCATCAGGGTGCTCCAGGACAGCTGTGGCTACACTGGCCCAATCCCAATACTCGCACTTCCATACATGTGCCCTTCCATTGCGGAAACCCGGCCAGGGGTGCGAGTGCATAGGGTGTCCTGATTCTCAAGTGCGGAAGTTGATCACGCCCCTTTTGCACCAAAGTGCGCATTAATGCATCCCGGCATGCTTTGCAGTCGATTACTCAATGCTCCCTGTCTCAGTTTGGCACGCTTGTGTACCACGCACTCGAAGCCTACTCCGCACTTTCTCCTAGTGCACTTTGCTGAAGACCGCAGGGCACAGTGCAAATAATGGGATTGGGTCGTTGTAGCTCCTCTCCACCAGCGTGTGAATGTTTGTGTGAATGGGCGGATATGTTGTGAAGTACCTTGGGGTATTGTAGAATCCTTGAAGGATCTTTACAAATAGGCCATTTACCATTTAAAGTGCAAGTCACCCCCTACCAGAGTTTTACTCCACTCCCACTTCCTGTTTGAAAAATGCAACAAATGCTGTTGCCTTGCAGACAGAGAGGGCGGAGTCGCTAACAAATACACACACACACACAGGCTCACAATGACATTGCGACATCATATGGTACTAGTTAACGCTCTAGGGTACCTCTTAGCTAATAGTGATGGCAGATTTAAATTCATACGCAGTGCAGAGTTTTTAGCTGACAACGGCACAACACTGACAGTTTTAGGCAGAACATTTAAGTTTTAACTAAAATTCACTTAAGTGCTAAACTATTGACCACATGTGTCTGCAGCACGATTAGACACACATTTATATAGTTTATCAGAAAAAAAAGTTGATTTGGAGGTGACTTGCTCTTTACAGGTAAACAAACCTATCATTGAATATGGGCCAATATGCAGTTTGGCTTCTGTCTCTGGGGAACCTAGATAAACCGTAGCAGTAGTAAAGGATTTAGCTCTTCGGGTTGGGTTAGCAACGCTCCATTTTAACAGGTCTGTCATTGGCCTGAACAATTTTAGGTCCAGCCAATCATGACACTATTTGTTTGTAGCAGGTGTAGCACCACAGCTGCAGCGAAGCAAGGACTAGCAAATAGTGTAACTCAGCTGAAAAAAAAAAAGTGCCGGTAGACGCGTGCAGAAATAATGGTACAGGTGATAGAACGCACATAGACGGCTCTGCAATCTCCAAGCTTTGGTAGATCGTCATCACTTTATAATCTTTAACGATCTTATGTCTTCAGATTGCACAGCCCTACATCCAGCGACAGTTTGTAAGACACATGCAGAGTCTGCCCCTATGACTGAGCTCTGTCTATGGGCCGTGGCCAGTCTATACATTTACATATATAAAGAGGCTTGCCAGGTTAGGGTGCTCTGGCATCATTGACCCACATTAGAGTGAGAAGTGCCACAGAGAGCGCTGGTCTTTCTCTTTAGAAACTATCAAACCTTTTCTTTATGCTTTGAAGGGAAAGTGAAACAGAATCAAACTCACCATTCCTCAGACACAGCTACGTATGCAAGCTTTTAAATTTGTGTTTTAATTTATTACTAACAATTGTTTTATGATGCAGGGGTCAAAATGAGCTTTTTATGTCTTAATAGTTTGTTTTCATGTCTTGCATCAAGCCTTAACACCTGTTTCTATGTTTGTTTCATTTCTGTTTCTGAAGCTAATTTTAAACCTAAAAGCAGCATTGATTAGCTCATTAAAGCCCCCACAAGAAAGCGAATGAGCACTTTTCTCTAAATGCCAAACTATTAATTTACCATGCAAACCATGTCATTCGTCACAGATCAGGCATTTTCTCAGCCCGTTTTTGGGTCATTTAATGAATGGCTGCAGCAGAAATGGCACCAGTCAGTAATGCACAGCATTAGAGATCAGACACTCTCTGTGTCCCATCATCTACTTATTGATATTCAGTATTCCAGCAGAGGCTCCATGAAACCTGCTGTCTCTGCAGATGGCGTTTAGCTGCACTGATAGCAGCTTTGTCAGAAAACCATCCCCACACTCTTGTTTCTGTGGGGTTTTTGTCAGATGTTTGCATCTTTACTTTGAATTTTATCTTGATCTCGTTCTGGTTGGAGCATTGTCTCTTTGTTTGTTGCCTTTGTTGTGGTTTGTAGGTCGCGCTTCATTTGCACACATTCATATCTTATATCTTTTGTAGGAGAATATGTTAGTGCTGTTATTTTTGCTTTATGCAAAAGCATCCTTTTCTCACTTTTGCTGCTGCAATATGTCTGGCTTTATTGCTAGCAGCTGGAAATCATCTGTTTTATTGTGTATGACAAGTGTTTGTGTAAAACTATGATATATGTGGAAAACTTAGTGTTATGGAAATTTTATATTTCATTACTTTAGTCCTATTAACAGATCTACTAATTGAATGTCCTGAAAGCATTCACACACACACACACACACACACACACACACACACACACACACACACACACACACACACACACACACACACATACACACACACACACACACACACACACACACACACACACACACACACACACACACACACACACACACACACACACACACACATTCTTGTCCTCCCACACACACACATGATCCACTCCCATTCCTTTCTTATCTCTTTGTATAAATAAACTCTGTGACCAGATGTTCGGGGCATTTGCCCTGCGCACTTGCCACAAATCATGATTTGGATGTATGTCTGCCTTATTGCTTCTTGTCCCTCTCTCTAGCTGCAGGAAATGGGTTTATTGATAAACATATTGATAAAATCCCAAACACTTAGGTTGTTTTAAATTTAGATTACAGTGATTAATGTTTATTAAACAGTGCCACAAAACCATTAGCAAATATAGTAAATAGAAAATAGTATTTTTATCACTGTATTTGTGTAGAAAGTGACCAAACTTTGTCTCATCCTATTGTTTAGCTCTAGTTTTCCTTTTAAAGTTTTTATATTAAGGTTTTTTAAAAGTGTGATGTATTTATAGCATTGGCAGTTGCTAATTAGCCCTTAGCAAGAGTCTCTGCTCCTTGCAGGCCAGTTTGACAACATCCTCGGGTTTAAAATTGCAGTGTGGGTAGCAAGCTGAACCTGACCTGACGGAGGTGGGCGTGAGTGTGCAGCAGAATAATGTTACCGTTGAGGGTTCGTCTTTGCTCGGTTTTCGTGCTGAGTTTGTTCAAAACAGACTACTGTCTTCTCAGAGATGGACACACATATAGATTTTGAGTCTACTTCTTTTGATTACACTAATTTTCCCTTCATTTCAGCGTTTAAGGAATTTTGTCTGTTTCCTGGGGTCTTTGGAGTATTTTCATGTTTTTTTTTTTTGTCCATTCCAATATCCAGGTTTTCGTAAAGCTCCAATGTTCCCATTTTGATTTTGGTCAACTCTGATTTTCTCTGGATAATAACAAGCATAAAATAAATAGATATTTATTTAGTTCCACCACATTTAGACAGGAAGTTTATGGTCTCACATCCTGATTGGTGCATGTATTAATCTTATTGCAAAAACATTATATTTAATAGAGCCAATGCTGACTAGTTTATCCATTTTATTAATTTAATACAGTTAGAATTTTTGAATGTAGGTTTAAAATCAGGCACAGGTAAAACTCGAAAAATCTGAAAATGGTCCGAAAGTTCAATTATTTCAGTAATTCCACTTAAAAGGCTGAACTAATAAGTTTGATAAAAGCCAGATAACTCAGCCTTTATTTGTTATAATTGTGATGATTATGGTTTACAGCTTATGAAAACCCCACAATCAACATCTCAGACTACAACATTGTGAAAAGGTTCAATATTCTAGACTCAGAATGTTACACTCTAATCAGCTAATGAATCAAGAACATCTGCAAAGGGTTCCTGGGCCTTTAGATTGTCTCTCAGTCGGAGCGGAATCACTGAAATAAATGAACATTTACTCCTTATTATAAGTTTTACTTTTAATTTAAAGTTTAGGCGTATTCAACAAATTATGGACAAATCATTAACCACGTTTACGTGCGCAATATTAATCGGATTGAACGCCCAATCAGATAAAAAATTCTGCATGTAAACATGTCAATCGGAATGTTCTGATCCAATTCGGCCCGATCGGAATGAAATTTCAATCCGATTGAGAGAGGTGGTGTTGTCCATCATCATTCTGATTGACGTGCATGCACACAGCCATTCGGAATGTTGGAGTAAAATAAACTCTGCATGTGTGCAACAACCAGCAAGCCTCCCCGCCATCATTTAGATTACCTGACTTAATAAATGACGGCCTAATTAAAGAGCGCCGCTTTTTAAATAATCCAGAATTTGCATTTTGTGGACGTAAAATAAAAATCTGATTAATGCTCAAATTATTAGACAAACATGTTTAAGTCTGTACGGGAAACACGCAGATTCGTTGCGGGGTTTGCAGCACGAATCCCCGTTTCTAAGAATGCAGCAGCTGTTTCTGCAGGAGCTGGATGGAGACGTGCTCGTAAAGAAGACAGGTTAACATCGGTGAAACACACCTGGTTTAAGTTTAAGGAGACTGTTGTTGAGTAGAAAAACATCCTCAGTTAAATGTTCTGGCCGACTGTCTGTGCAACCCTCTGTAACCCTCCCTTATTTTAATATCATCAACAATAAAATGCAGCAAAGCATATATCCGCAGTTATTGACTTATAAAATGTAACTTCTATGAGCAAAATTAAAACATTAATTTGATTAAATGAATCAGGAAAGCAGGAACAATTGTTTTTTGTGTTTTTACATTTTTCATTTTGTTTGTTTAAATAATTTTTTTTTCTGGGAAAGAAAATTCTGCACATGCTCAGCCTATTTAATCTGATTGAGTACTTGGTGCATATAAATTCACGGCATGATTAGATAATTTCAGTTAGTGTACATGTAAACAGAGATTTGGGATTTATGATCAACCAAGATTTGAATCGGAATCGTCATATTTAGGGAAATATGGCGCATGTAGACGTGTCTATTTTTGCATTTCCAGTGTGTGAAATGTGCATATTGCAAAGATCGCTTGGCCCACAATAATAATAATAATACAATAATGTTATATTCAAAGTGACATGCATTTGCAGTTCCAGTAGCTGAAATGCTAAAACAAAACAACTACCCACATTATCTGCACAGTGTTGCAAAAATAGCATCTTGCATCTCTTTTCTAAGCTCTTTTCTATTTTTCAGTGGATTCAGGAAAAAAAATAAAAAACTGTAATTTAATAATTCCTTGCAGACGTTTCCCTTCTTGTTGTAGAACGGTGGCATCTAATCCTGGCCTTGCAGAAACATTTCTCTGAATGTAACATGGTTTTATTTAGCTACATTATTTACAGCTTCTGATTTACACATCTTTACTGTTTCTGTTTTCCTGTCAGTGCATGAAGAGCGCCCCTCTGCTGTAGACCCCGACAACCCGAAGCCGCCCTGCCAAACCTGCAGCCATGTCTGGAGCCTATGACGAGTATGCGAGCCAGGAGGAGACCACGGACAGCTTCTGGGAGGTGAGAATGAAGCTTCTGACAGATTAAACCTAACGGGGAAGTGGCACTGGCTTGATAAACTCTCAGTAAACCTGCTTCATACGAGGATGGGGGGATGGAAAGTGCCTGGACTCAGCTATTAGATTTATCTGGAGGACTGGCTCACTGATCTTTGAATGCTGCACACTCACACATCAATGACACACACACTCATACTTGTATTTATATGTTTGTGTGGACCTCCATTGCCTTCCATTAATTTCAGTGACTCCACTATACCTAACCCATACCCTAACCTTAACCAATGGGGTTCTATTCCTAATCCTAACCTAAACTAAAAGTTAATTCACACCATACCTCTAAAACCAGGTTTTAGAGTGCTCCACATTGTGTGGACTGGCAAAATGCCCCCACAATGTAAAAATGGCTTCAGTCAACATTTTAATCCAGTATATTTATCTTTTGCTTATTGATCAGTGCTTGTGTACTTCAGTCCATCAGGAATGTTTTCCACTGTTATCTTTTGGGTTATTATTAGGAAGTTTTGCAGTAAAGCATCTGCTGAAGGGACTTTGGAGCAAATGAGAGGGTGGGTGCAGGGAGTGGATGATGCTGTTGGTGGTTTGGACTCTGGTCGCTGCATGGATGAAGTCATATGTAGACCTGAAGTAAAAAAAACTTGCATAAACCATATTGATTCAAGATTTGCTGAAAATCCTCAACTCAAAGTCAGACTTTACTTTTGAACTAAAGATTATGTTAAAGATGAAGGCTAGGAGATCATCTGAAAACAACACGATGTTTATAGTCCACGGGAATTTAATCAACCCCTGCTAAAAGAAAATTGATGTTGAATCAAAGTCCAGAACAAATTTCAGACATTAGAGTTAAACTCCAAGGTCAAGTGTCATCAACAGAGTCAGGTGTTTGAGCTAAAGAGGAGGAACGCCTCATTTCCTTGTCTCAGCATGTTGCTGCTGTTTTCTGTCATCTCATTACATCACTAACAACCTTTCGCAAACATAAAGAGTCACAGGTTATTTGAGCTGTGTGCTCCCAGATATACATTCATTATTGATCAGAGCAGGTGACTCTTTGGGCAAACTGGGAATAGATTCCCCTCATCTGAAAGCACAGACTGCTGTGTTACGCTGCTTTCAGACAGTTGTACAGAACGATTGGACTCATAGGAGACGTTAAAGCTATCTCTTTCCCCCTCATATTCCCGAGTTTTGCCCACAGTCCGCCTGTGTGTTCAGAAATCAGCTGAAGGGGGTAAAGTGCATCCTTCACGCTGTCACTTCATCAGCGTCAGTCTCTGCATCACATTAGAGCTGCTGCAGTGCCGCCTGCTTATTGCTGACGTGGCTGGCTGCTGCTGAAGCGAAGTCCTGGCGTTGAATACAATCATTTACCCTCCAGCTGCTTTGGTGCAAATACGAGGTTTGTAGAATGTCATTTTCAGGGTGAGTTACAGGTAAATCTTTCATGCAGCGAGTTTAAATGTTTTCAGTTGTTCACGGGAAAGCAAAAACAGCAGCAAGCCTGGAGTTTCAGCCACGGCTGTTTATATGGATCTGAGTTTAATGATCAGCTCTCTGGGAAGGTGCTGCCCTTCACCCACGAGGAGTTGTAAATTATATAACATTAACCCACCCTGCACTTTTCATTGCACAACACAGCAGCAGCAGCAGTCTCCTCCCTGCTGATGCAGCTGCAGGTTGTGAGGTGGCATCTCACACAGGGATCTTACAAGTGGAAGGACAGATTTAAAGTACATCTACAGCAAACAGTAACCAGGACAGCTTCTTGAGTTCATGTTAAAATCTTTAACTCTTTCAACTGTTTTTATTTGAAAGTAGATGGATAAGATCTGACCCTGAATGAGTAGAAGAACGAGACAACAAGATGGTTTTACAGCCTTTGGAGTCAATGACTAAAATACCTGAAAACCAAAAGTAACAAAGCATTGTTTCTACACTGTTAAAAATGGAAAGATTTCTATTCTAAAGATGAGAAAAAAATGTTCAACAACAACTGTAGGAGAAAGAGTTTGTAACATTTAGAAAATAAGAACAAAAATAGTCTTGTTTTTATTTCTTTAAATGTTTTTAGATTAAAATTTGCTGTCATTAAATCCTAAAATAAGCTATGTATGTTTTTAAAAGATTTTTTAAACACTTTACATAATTGTAGTACCATGCTGATACAGTAAACCAGCAGGGGAAAATGGGCTTGGGATTTTATTTAAGTGCATTTCTTTATTTGTGCCACGAGATGTCCCAGTTTTTCACACATTAGACTTTTAAGAGTTTTTTTATGTCACTAGATTGAATTAATATTTCCACAATTGACAATTTCTAATAGAAAGTATTTGACAGAAGCATATATAAGGCACTTTTTAATGTTTTTAACCAACTGATACAAATGTGGTCTGGGCTTTTAAAAATTTATACAAAAAGTTTGAAGCTGCTAAGAAAAACTACTGGTTGTCTTCCATCTACTGGGGCAGCAGTAGCTCAGGTGGTAGAGCGGGTTGCCTCATGATCGGAGGGTCATGGGTTCAATTCCAGCTCCCGCCAGGGGTATCCTGCTGTTGTGTCCTTGGGCAAGACACTTCACCCAACTTGCCTGTGTTGGTGGTGGCCAGAGGGGCCGACGGCGCCAAATGGCAGCCTCGCCTCTGTCAGACCTCCCAAGGCGGCTGTGGCTACAAGTAGCTTATCATCACTAGGAGTGTGTGAATGTGTGAAAGTGTCTTTGGGTGTCTAGAAAAGCGCTATATAAGTCCAATGCATTATTATTATTACTGGATGGGTTTCACAACAACAATTTTCTGTTGTTATGTAAGGTTGGGAACTACAAACGCACAGTGAAACGCATCGATGACGGTCATCGGCTCTGCAACGACCTGATGAACTGCATCCAGGAGCGTGCCAAAATCGAGAAAGCATATGCACAGCAGCTGACTGAGTGGTCTAAGAGATGGAAACAGCTGGTGGATAAAGGTAAGTGGCAGGCAGTAGAGCTCTTTAGTCTTGAATGCCTCGTTTTTCTAATTTCTAAAGATTACCTCCAAAGGAGTCTGGTGATTTGAGCTGAAAAATTTCTAATGAACCTTTTGGACTGTGTTGATTATTGTGATGATAAATAAAACTGAGCGTTATCTGCATATATACAGGTCCTCAGTACGGCACGGTGGAGCTAGCTTGGATGGCGGTTATGGGCGAGGCAGAAAAGGTGAGCGAGCTTCACCAGGAAGTGAAGAACCACCTAGTCAATGAAGACTTTGAGAAGGTGAAGAACTGGCAGAAGGACTCATACCACAAACAGATGATGGGAGGATTCAAGGAGACCAAAGAGGCAGATGAGGGCTTTAGGAAGGGCCAGAAACCGTGGGCCAAGAAGCTAAAAGAGGTGAGGAAGGCAGTCCCACAGAGAGACTGTTGTGTTGTTGTTTAGTGCAGACCTCCTGATCAGAACCTTTACCTATACTGCTCAGGTCGAGGTTGCCAAGAAGTCATACCACATGGCCTGCAAAGAGGAGAAGCTGGCTGCTGCCAGAGAGGCCAACAGCAAGGGGGAAGCCTCGGCGCCGGCTGAGCAGCAGAAGAAACTGCAGGAAAAGTTGGACAAATGCAAACAGGACTCGCAGAAGGTGAAAACGTCAGCTGTAACGGGCCCGAGGAGCTGGCAGGGTTCTAGAAACTGAGCTAAAAGCAAATCAGCTGGCCGGTCATTTGAAGCTGCAGAGTTCGAGTCAAAGTTGACTGATCACCACTCCTGCATTCCTCTTTATTGTTTCATCGAGTTTCTGCAGGGGGACGTCTTATTTGATTCACGAAAAGCGCCTAAACATACAGTAAATGAGCCAAAAGTCCTAATTTTACTTGGATCATCTGTATTTCTGTCACAAAGATCAACTGTTTTACCTTTGAGAAACATGAACTGTGCAACAACAGCCCTGAATTTTAAAGTTGATGAGGTATAAAAATAAATATACCAAACTACACAATTGGTATGAGCAGGTCAGAGCCGTGAACGGAAAAGAAATCAGCATTTCCCCTAAAATCCAGAATTAGTGCTTCTCAGCTTAGTTTTCTACATCTAGCCAGCAAATGAATAAATATTACCTCGTTTTTCTTGGTGTTTTCTGTCATGTAGGCAAAGGAGAAATATGAAAAGGCCCTGGAGGAGCTGAGTAAGTGCACGCCTCAGTACATGGAAAACATGGAGCAGGTGTTTGACCAGTGCCAGCAGTTTGAAGAGAAGAGGCTGAGCTTCCTAAGGGAGGTGCTGTTGGACATCAAACGCCACCTCAACCTTACAGAGGACCAAAGGTTTGGCAGCTCTTAAGCTGTTAACGTGGAAATGAAGTCAGCGGAACTGTCCACACACTAAATGCTTACTATCCATCCACAGTTATGCCACAGTGTACAGAGATCTGGAGCGAACCATCACCTCGGCTAGTGCTCAAGAAGATCTGAAGTGGTTCAGCAGTGTCCATGGCCCTGGGATGCACATGAACTGGCCCAAGTTTGAGGTAAAACTAATACATTATATGCATTAAAGACTCAGCATTTAGACTGACTTACTTTGTATTATTTATTCACATAGTTTCTTGCTTGCAGGAGTACAACCCAGACCTTTCTCATAACATCTCCAAAAAGGAAAAGAAGAAGTTAAATGATGATGTCATGCTGACTAATGTCAAGACAGCAGTGGGTAACCCTCAGTCTGGAGACAGGGGGAGGTAATTCAGTGTTTTAAGTTAACGTCATACACAGAGTATTGTACTCTGGTCTTTTCTCTGCTCACTTAAATGTGGAATAGGAGAGGTTTTCTTTGTCATAAATGATTATATTAAGCTTTTATCAATGTCTATATCATTGTCGATTCTATCTATCAATACAATTCCTTATAAATTCTCACGTAGTTCAATAGGGGGCAGTCTCCTGCATTATAATGCCAGTTTATTAATGATAAATAATCAATTGTACATGGTATGGTTGGAAAGATCTTTCCAAATGTTCTTTTTTAAGCTCCTTGTGAAGGTGGAGTCTTCTTGTTCGGTGTAGTGTTGCCTTAGCTATTATAAGAGGTTGGACATCAGTTGCTGGAGTCTGTTAGTGTGGAGGTGAATATATGAGGGAAACGACGTTAACACGCTAGCCGGTGTTAGCTGATTAGTTACCTGCAGTATTAACAGGAGAGGACGTGCCAACGTCACCGCTGCTGCTGTGTTGAAAGTCTCCAATTCGGAGTGGGTCAAAAACGATATTCGCTCGTCGTTGCGTATTTTGTGTTCAAATGCTTTTGTGTATTCGTTGCGTTTCCTCCCTTTGATGACATATCTACTTTGCAAACTTTGCAAGTTGTCCTATTGCCATCCTTTTTCGTAAAGTGTAACCAAACTTTGAAGTGTTTGTGCCGCTTAGGCGCCATGTTTCCTGCTGAGTAAATGCGTAAGCTACGCAACGTGCACTGTGACATCATTTGCTCCAACTGGATTTGATAAGGCAATCTTTTGCGAAAATGGCAAACGATTCCTAGGAATTGAAACAGTGGGAACCTGGTCTCATCAAGAACCGGTTTTCGATTCCCACCCCTAGATTACACACAGTTCAGCAGTCCAACTCCTGTTCTCCAGGACTCGCCTCCTATATAGCACCTTCAGAATACAGGACGTACGTTTCAGACTCGCTGTCGGCACATTTTCTGCCATATTCCTAAAGTAACGCACCTACATAACAATACAACAATTCAGTATACTAGCTAATAAAGTGTGGCATTTTATGGTGAACAAAATAGACAATTTTTCAGCTTTTTGGGTTTATCAATTATTTCAACATCATAGCAGCACAGTGCTGCCAACAGTCTGGGGAAAAACCCCTGAACAGCTCAGTCACTCTTACTCGCACCTCTCTGCTATAGTTCTGCCGGCCAACGGAGGACGGGCTGCATTCACATACAGCAGGTCCGTCTCCTAAACGTTTCCCAACTAGAGCAGAACTAGAATCTTAATGTGAAACAAATCTTTAAATGAAATCTGCAGAACGGAATGTGCCATCCGTTACACTAGGCAGCCCGGTTCTGGCTTCGCTTGCTGTTTGGCTGCACCAAACCACGAACATGTGATTCATGCACAAAGAGAAGTTTGCATGGAACGGGGAGTTTGACGTACAAATCAGGATCCAATCAATAAGAGCCGGATGTTCACAGTGATTGGTTGCCATCGATATGTGAAGAACATTTCAAGCTAAACTTCTGCTTATAAACACTTCACCTATAAATGAGAAGTTTTGATCCATGGATGTTTAATGTTGGGTTCTGTGTTCAGTGTGAGCAGCTATGAGAAGAACCAGGCGTACACGGCCTCCACCGAGTGGTCAGACGATGAGCAGAAGGGCTCACATTCAGGAAGTGACACCAATGGAGGACCCAGCCCCTTTTACGAAGGGGAAGGTGTGAGGGTCAAAGCGTTGTACGACTACGAAGGCCAAGAGCAAGACGAGCTCAGCTTCAGAGCGGGTGAGTGTTTGGTTGTTTAAGGCTGCGTGAAACAAAAGGTACACCTCAAAAGCCATTTGAACTTGGCCAAAGGTCACATTTATACAGCTGTATTTTATCCCGGGCCAAACAGCTACTTTAATGTACTTTTATCAATTTACAATAGAAACCAATAAATGAATGATTAACTCAGATAACAAGGGCACACCTTTATATTTTATCTCATCAGTGAGAAGGCCTTCCTGTAATTCTCAATTTCCCCTCTACCTCACATCCTCAACCTCACCTCACCCCACCCCACTCATCTCTAATCACTATTTACGTGAATACAACCATTAAACCTTGCATTAGATCCATTTCATCCCTCTAACAAATAAATCCAGTTCATCATCCTCTCTTTTTTTATTCTCATCCTTCATTCCTAACCCTCATCCTTACCTTCTTATCCATTCTTCCCACATCTACTATCTGTGCCTCCAGGTGCCATGTAGGGAGGTTCTAAAGTTGGCTACTTTGACCGAGCCTGCATCCTGGTTCTCCTTCTTAGCTGCCATTCACAAGACTCCCCTTATGAGCCTCAACCATTTCCCTCATCCGCACCCCCTCTCTCATTCTTCCTTAAATCAAAATAAACCAGTCAACTTAATCTGTTGTGGCTCGGTCATCGTTACTGAATCCCAGTTCACTTCTCATCGTTGTGGTTGTTGTAGGCAACAAGGTCGGTGATCAAAGGATGAAGGATGTCTGAGATCACTACGTTTCAATGGTTGTAGTATTTTATAACAGAAATAAGCTCAGATGTTTGCTCCTGAAGAGATCTCAGGATGTGGATGACATTAGAGGGAAGATTTCCAAAGGGGTTCCTATTCTGGTCACGACTCAACAGAAGTATTGACATCACAAACCATTTCCAAAATCAAACAATCCACTGATGGTGGAATTAGTGCAACGTTAAAGATGAAAAATGTGTTCAGAAACCTGGAGATTGCATTGTCTTTGTGAATATTCTTGTTGTGATTTGTGTGAGTTTCCTCTAATCACCCCCTGCTGCATTTTTATGTCCCTGTTTATCGATCAAGGTGATATGCTGACAAAGCTGGAGGACGAGGACGATCAGGGCTGGTGTAAAGGTCGCCTAGACAACGGCCAGCTAGGTCTTTACCCGGCCAATTACGTTGAGCCGATTTAACTGAGGAATGCTTGGCTCTTCGGAGGTGAAACCCAGTCTGAACTCATACCTGCACATAGCCAGAGACTTCAAAGCAAAGCTTCCTCTTCCTGTCAGACAAGGAGAGCTGTCTTCATCTTCATCACGGAGGAAGAGCGCTCGGGATCGCCACAGAAACTGAAGCTGTAGCTGTGTTCACCAGCTGGGATGCCAACGTGACATTTTCTCTGATCAGACGTTTGACACGGCATCATCATTTGGAACGTGGGGGGGGGACGGGCTGTGCATTTCTTGTACGGTGTTACTTTGTTTTTAGGACATGCATTTGCTCAGATGTTTCGCTCAGCATTAGCTCTCAGATTGGATTTCTTGTTGCCCTCGGCTACATCTACAGGATGTGTAAGCGTCACCGGGCAACAAACCAACTGCAAAGCCTCATAATAACCACTTAGGGTACAGGATATTTCCTGGTATGAGTTACAGCTCAGAAGTCTCTGTGCAGCCTCGTTCTGAGGTTTTCTCAGATGAAGTTTAGTTTTAATTGTCCTGTCTTGCTGAATTATTTAAAAGTGAGATGAATCCGCCTGTCATCGGTGAGTAAAACGTCTCTGAAGTGGAAATGGTTCTTTACCAAACACCAGGAGGTTTGTTTACATTAACCTTCGCTGTCTTACCCATCTACAACGATGTGCCTGTTCTATTTATCACAATCTGCTGATGTTCTCCTCTGTGTTGATGATGCAGACTCCATGAGCACAAACTGCCTGGAAACCTTACCTCATCGCTGTTTTCTTTTCTTTTATTGGAAGATTAGCTCCATTTCCAATCAGAACTTGTTTGTTTCTGCAGTTAATGAGCCTTGCTTACTCTGAGCGATTGTGACTCAGTTCTCGTCTGTGTGATTCGGTGCATGCTGATGCTCCTGCTCACCGTTTACTGAACTGATCGAGCGCATGGCCTTGATTTGTTTCCACCTAATTATTGGCTGAATCTCAGTTTAATTAAAACTCCTCTGTTATCGGGGGTGATGATTGGCTGTTTCACTGTGTATCAAAACAAATTTAAAAAAATGTAGGTTGTATTGAATGAAATTTCCTGCTATTTAAATGTTTTGTTTTAATCAGAAAATTTAAATTACGAGTGCATGTCGGTGTTGGAAAGGGTTGGTTTGTTAGCGGCACGTGTTTCTGAAGAATCCTCTTCTGTGGCGGACGGAAGGCAGGTGTTGCTGATGCAAATGAGGAAAGACGTAGCTCTAAAAGCAGAAAGATAAAGAGAATATTTAATCTGCAAATGCATAATGATTCATTTTACAAAATCGTGAAGAAAATATCTCCTTTCTCAGTCTCAGTGTGGCTTCAGTTAGCTCCTGATTCAGAGGGAGTCGCCTCAACGGTGAACGAGTGCGCTGAATCTGACACCAGCTCATCCAGATCTGTTTACACTGACACGTCAACTCCTCCTTCATTAACTGATTGAAGACGTACATCTCCACTGTCCAAACTCCTGGAATTTGGTCGTTTAAAAATCCACAAACATCTTTTTTCTATTCCTTTGCTTCTGCTGCAACGTCGGAAGACTAGAGGGCGTCTTTGGATTGTGTCCGTTCCTCTGAATTAGCTACAAATAAAAAAAATCTGAAAACCGAGGCACATAACAGATTATTGGAGAGGGAAAGCACGCGTGTGCTGCTCATTTAAAATGCAAGATGTGATTTATTCAAAGTGCACAGAAAGTAGAGATAACGCTGTGAAAATACGAAAATCTAATCCCCCATGTTGAATTTTCTACTGTAGGTCTAAAATATTGGTCTCATCTTGTGCACTAGTGTAATATTTAAATCCTGCTCTTATTTATTGTGTATATTCTAAATTATAAAACACCTCTGATTTTTTTTTGATTTTGAACAAAAGTATAAAATACCTTAAAATTGTGTCATGGCTTCACATGCATGTCTTATCTTAATAAAGATGCAAGACAAATGTCATCCACACAAGTAAATGACTGCTGAAGTTTTTGTTTTTAAGTGTGTGTGTGTGTGTGTGTGTGTGTGTGTGTGTGTGTGTGTGTGTGTGTGTGTGTGTGTGTGTGTGTGTGTGTGCGTGTGTGTGTGTGCGTGCATGTACATGGGCATTCAGTATTATTTATTTTATTTATTTATTGACTGTAAACACGAGTAGATGTGCTCCCTCCATCCTTGGAAAAATAGAAGTTCACTTGCACAGCTTATTACATTGTTTCTCAGCCAATAGTATCAGTTGTACTCCGATTAGGTTGGCTTTAGTCGGTCAGGTGACTATAATAAAGTCAAGACTATAAGGTGTGAATAAAAAAAATGTACATTTCAGAACAGTTTGTCCTTTTGATCTTTATCTAAATATTTAGTTATTTTTCTGCAGTAGAAGTTGCCACAAGAGGTCCTCGGTGAGCAGATGTTATCATTTCAGATTTAAATCCCATCTCACTGCACCCATCGCCTGGCCCCAGAGCCCATCAGGCAGACAGGTGAGGTTCACCAGTTCATCACAGTCACAGGAACATGACATCCAGAGTCACACGGGTCAGTTAGGTGCACCTGACAGCTGCACCTGTTGTCCATAAGGCCTCTCAGGCTCATTTCTTTGCTGACTGTTTGTTTTCTGTTTTAAATGACAATGCAAGCAGGCGACTACGCTGCAGAAACCCAACAGAATATAGTCAGTTTATCATTTTTTATCTTCCATCCATCATTTCCTCTGAGGTTTGGTCACAGGGTTCATTTGCTTTTCTTTTTTCTCTCCAGGATTTAGTTTCCATTCTGCAGGACACACGGCATGCAGGGAAACCGTGCGGTGAAAACAAAACTGCTTTCCTCTTTGTGTAGATTTTGTGGTCGGCTTTTGTTTGTTTTGTCATTATCATAAGTGTCAGTTGGTTAAACACAGGGTGTTATTATTTCACCCACCGGCAGCTCCAGCCTATAATTACCATTTAACTTCCATTTGAATTAAACTGAAAGAGGTTGTTACTCACTTGGCAGGAAACTCTTGTAGTAAAAATAACAAAATGATGCTAAATAATTTATGCAGCATTAAAAACTAGTTTGTGGCACCTTTCTTTTTCAGAATGAGGTTTGTAAATTACTTTAAGATAAGTTCTGGCCCTTCGCTGGGTTTGTGTAAGTTTTGTCAGCTCTGACTTTTTATCATTGCCACTACGTTTTTACTTTGAATCTAAATAATCTTAGTCTTCACATAAAAATTGACTTTCAACTGAAACTGAACGCCCATTATGTTCTAATATAAATCGTTTGATCAGAACATGCAGAGGCACGTTTGAATCTCGAGCAAAAATTTAAAGTTCAACAAGGACACCTTTTTTCCTTCCTTTAGCTCGTGGCCTGCTGTCTTGGCTGGTGTTAACGCGCTGACTCATGCTCAGAAATGAGGGGTAATTATGACACATTTAAAACCTGTTAAATGGTAAAAACGGCCCGTGTTTACATAGCACCTTCTAGGGATCTATAACCCCCCAAGGCGCTTCACAACACAATCAGTAATTCCCTCGCCCATTCACACGCCGGTGATGATGAGCTACAATGTTGCAACAGCTGCCCTGGGGCGAGCTGTCGGAGGCAAGGCACGGGCACCACAGGTCCCTCCGACGACCACCAGCAGGCTAGGCGGGTTAAGTGTCTTGCCCAAAGACACGACAGCAGCGGGATCAAACCTGCAACCCACGGATTACAGGACAACCCGCTCTAACTCTTGAGCTGCTGCTGTCCACGAAATCAGAGAAGACACAAATCAAAGAACAGATTGTAAAATGTAATGACTACTTGTAGAAAACATTTTCTTGCAAATAAAACTCCCAGAAACCACTTAATAGAGTTCAGTTGGTTGAGACCCTTTAAAGCTTGGACAAATTTCAATTACATTAAAAAAAGTTTGTTTCAATGAAATGAAACAGAAACAAAAGTGAATAAAATGTGGTTTAACCTGGAATATATAAACAGTTATGTACACATATTTTTTGTGTTTACCTTATCTGATTTTATTCTTCTTCACACAGATGCCTCTCCGTGGCTCCGTTTGGATGCTGTGCTGCACAACAGATTCAGCAGTTTTGTGCATTTGCATACTGGCACATGCAAAGTCAATTTGAGGTTGACTACATATTCTGCACAGATTTGATCATAAACATAATTATGACAAAAAAATGCATGACCGGTGCTAAACAAAATAAAGTGGACATGATTTTTTTCAAAAGACAGAGAAAATTAGTATTTGTTTAAAAAAATACATTTTGTCAGCATTCTGCCTTATTTTCTATTAATTTTGTTTCGAGTCCTTTAAGTTTTACGACAAAATTTACAACACAAAATGCAATTTGCAGTTGAGCTGACAGGGGAAACACGCATCTCCTCAGCAGCGCTTTTAGAGGAAACGTCGCCCCGTTACGTCTCGGAGGAGCTCAGAAATCTGCCTGACTGCTGACTCGTCCTTGTCTGTAGGTAAGACTCCTGTACGGTGAGTGTTTGGTGTAGTTCCACAGATCCACACAGTCACGGCAGGTATCAGAAGGCTGACTGCCTGAAGCATGGGAGAGTAATTAGGTGTGACTTTTATTAGTGTGGATCACATTTTGAAACATTAACAGGCAGATCATGCAAATGACGAGGCAGTTCACTTCAGGTCATCTGTGTTTGGTTGATTTTGCAGCAGGAAAATTCCCCTGAATAGGCGTATTGTCTTCAGTAAAGCCTTCACACAGCCGCAGCTTGAGTCAGTTTTATCCACCTTTCAGTTCAGGTTTAGTGTTCAAGTGCATGTGTTCAATTTTATTTAGTTCTTTGATTTTAGTTTTCCTCCTACTTCTGGTCCCAGGTCGCTGAAGACTCATACTGGGTGAACAAACTGGTACACCAGTCTCTGAGACACGTCTGGTTTGCGGATGATGCCTTTCTTGTAGTACTGACGGATGGAGCGGCTCAGCTTGTCGTAGTTCATAGCAGGACGATTCTTTCTGAGTCCCCACAGCCTCGCCACATGGGCTGAGTCTTCGATCTTAAAGATACCTGGAACAAAAGAAAAGGAGAGACACTTGTTCAAAATCCTGGTCCTTGTTTTTCGATCCCTGTCTGGATCAGCGCCACCATATTCAGCCTCTCTGCTGACCCGTTACGTCCCTGCAAGATCGCTACGTTCGAGTCAGAGTGACCTTTTGGTGGTACCGCAATCAAAGCGTAAGTCTAAGGGTGGTCGTGCCTTTGCAGTTCTGGGTCCTCGGCTTTGGATCCAACTCCCACAAGAAATCAAACATCGCTGCCCGCTTTTATTGTTTTTAGCTCTTTTTCTGTGTTTAAATGTTTTTATCTCTGTATTTTACTATAGAGCTGTTTTATTGTGCTGCTTCTCTGCACTATGTGCGGCACCTTGGGCCCCCTTGATTGGGGGTGGGACGGGACTTTATAAATAAAATCAACATGAACATTAAGTAACAACAACACATGACAAAATATATCTGACCAATGCTTGCATAAAGAAAAACATAAAGTTAAGTTTATTATGTGCATTTGTGACCTCCACTATATATTTACAGCTATATCATTCTGCTGTGGTCTGTTGGGGTGCAGGCATCTCTGATCGAGACAGGAAAAGGCTGATTGCCTTCACAGTGGCCCATAGTAGAGTCCGCCCTTGGACTGAGAGTTTGGTTTCAAATTTGGTTGGGTCACACCAAAGACTTTAAAAATTGGACCCAATGCCTCCCTGCCGGGGAGCTTCAAGGGGTTGGTTTGGGGAGGTAAACCACCAAATAGTTCCAGAGAGCGGCCACAGCTCCCCACGGGATGGGTCAATACGGAGATGTCATTTCACCAGTGTGTGATGATGACCAATGGGACTTTAACAAGCTAGTCAACAAAGCTAGCTCGGTTCTGGGCTTCCCACTGGATTCTGTTGATGAGATGTGTGAAAGGAGGATGGTGGTGAAGTTGACTTCCTTACTGGAAAACCCCTTCCACCCACTCTATTCCACTGAAGATGCCATGGACAGCTGTGGCAGATGAGACATCCCAGGTGTAAAACAGAACGCTACCGTAGGTCATTCATCCTCTCCGCAGTAAGAGTGTATAACCCCTCAGTTTAACTGGTACTACTGGCATTATCCTGGTACACAATAGCATCAATGCAATATTCAGTATGAGTTCAATATTTGTGCAATACCGGATGTCTGTGTCCCTTATGCTGCGTAGTTCTGGAAACACAAGTTTCTATTTTTATTTGTTGCTTTTATTGGTTGAAGGTTACGACACTAGATTATTGCCTTTGTCTGTTTAACTGTAATTGGAGTTATGCAAGCGATTGTCTAATCCCCTTATTATGTGCCATGGACTTCACATATGATGTCCGAGAATTTTACAGACACATTTTGAGACCTATTTTAAAACGGTTGCAAAAGTAATTTTAGGTTTGTGTGAAAAGACATGTATTACTATAAATGCGTCACGCCGTACTGACATCACTGAACCATACACGGAGAAGAAAACTGCTGTGAGTTTAGCGAGCTTTGAATCTTTCTTCCAGGATGACAGAAGGAGCATTAAATGTGGGGAAAACCAAAGCAAACTATCTGGCCATGTGGTAAGTATGTGAGAAAATTCTCTTTTAAGACTTACTTCTCCACAAGAAATGTTGCCATGTCGCCAACTCTGCATCAGTCTGGGCACGTCTACAAACGTGTGGCCGCTCTGTGACTGACATCTGTACCTAAGCAGATGTCTAATCCTACTGGCTAATGCTGAGCAGCGCTCAAGTAAATTAGTATGTGGCTCTAAAAGTAAATTGGCATATATCTGACATATACCTTATATCACAGTACGACTATCACTCACTTATTTTATATTTTTTTCTTTAAAAAATCACAAATAATTCACGAAAGGGGGAAATCTCTGGATAGCTACTTTAAGGGCTGCAGAAATAGCCTACATGTACTAATGTTGTGATATCAATATTGCAAAGGCTTCCAATAAATTACACTCAAGTTGCATGAGGAAAAAAATATATTTGGCTATCAGATGGATCCTCATTTCCCTAAATTCGAACAACCATCAACATCAAAGCTATGGGTTTACTGCAGCTGCACGTTTTCCTTTGGTAAAAAGCCAATAAAATCCCTTGATGTGTATTAACTCAGTTTGTCCAGAACAATGGAGATATGTCCTTGTACCTTTTTCCTTGTTGAGCCAGCGGATGCAGCGTCCATAGTTGTGAGGTTTGAGCAGGAGCTCTCTAAGGAACTGCCACAGATGAATTGGTTGGCCTGAACAAGACGAATCTGCCTCAGACCACAGCTCCTCGCCGCCTGTGCACCAAAACACAACCTCCTTAGGTCATTTATGCATGTTTATAGTCAAAAATGTAAAATGATGTAAAATCTCATCTGCTTTAGGAAATTGTTCTTGGGGTAAAAAGTGTGAAAAGTGCTTTATCTTTCAATTTATTTAGCCTAATGCTGTAAAAACAGCTTTCATTGATGCTGTTTAGTGGCTTCAAATGAAAAGCGTGGAAGGAAATCCATCCTACCTGCAGCTTTGGTATCTACTACTGAACACCTCTCCTTCATCCAGGCAGCTGGAGATAAAATGTGACACGCAATCAATCAGAGGAAAAAGCTCCTGTTTTGTTTATTGCTGTGCAAAAGTTTTAAACTACCCTTCTTTTTTAAAATGAAACCGATTATTTTATAAAAGTGTTATTTCGCTAGAAGCTCCGTACTCTTTGATCTCAAGCCAAGTATCACAGTCATCATGAGGTGGAGTTGGTTGTGATCTATGGCAAGCCAAATGAGCATTTATTCTGATATCAGGATATCAGCCAGAATTGTCATGAACATGTAAGCCATTTCTGTCCACTAGTTAACTAGTTAGCCATGTTTGTGTCAACTAGTTAAATAGTGACAGCCTAAATGTCAACTAGTTAACTAGTAAGGCCTAAATTCTCTCTAGTTAACTAGTTAAAATGTTTCATATCTTACTAGTTAACTAGTATTGCTCAGTGTGTTCACTAGTTAACTAGTGGACAGATCAATGTCCACTAGTTAACTAGTTAAAACACATTTAGTTTTTACTAGTCAACTAGTAAGGTACAAAAACTCGTACTAGCTGACTACTGAATGTAAAAATCCCACTTGTTAACTTTGCCCAATTTGGCCAGCCGCTTGAGCATTAATTCTGATATCTTGTCAACAGGTCAACTAGTTAACTAGTGAGGGTCAAACTGTACACGCTAGTTAACTAGTGAACACATTTTGACCTTCACTAGTTAACTAGTTGACATTTAGGCTGTCACTATTTAACTAGTTGACACAAACATGTCTAACTAGTTAACTAGTGGACAGAAATGGCTTACATGTTCATGACTATTCTGGCTGATATCCTGATATCAGAATAAATGCTCATTTGGCTTGCCATAGTGATCCTAAATAATTACCGCTCATTTACCTGACTTCCATATGTCCAGGTGAGCGTGCAGCGTATCTCCACACAGCGGGGAGCGCTGGCGAAACTCTTCCTCACTCATGGCACACAGATCTTTTCCTGTCAGCTCCTGGAAGGCTTTTCCTGCATGAGGCAACCTGTACAGGTGCTCTGTCCACAGCAGCCACTTTTGGACGTTCGCCGTGTTCCAGTCTATAGGATCTGTGGGGAAAAAGTGTCCAGATGTGAGAAAGCTAACAGTTGCTTCCACAGCAGAATGCCTCGTTCCAAATCATTTTTCTTCAGCCAGATAAGAGGTTATTTTATGCTTCACTGTGTCATGTAATAAATGTGTAATAAATCAACAGGTATTTATGTTTTTATGGTACCAGAGTTCTTTCTAATCAGGAGAACAGATGCCAGGGTATCACATGGGTTTATAACAGCGAGAAGCTGTACAATGCATAAATAAGCTTCCTCTGTTTGCTTTCCAAGCAGGAGAGACCTCGCCCATAAGACTGTGTACACGTCTGCAGGTGGAGAAGAGTCATTGCTGTCACAGTTCAGAAAACCTCGAGCAAAAGGTCAGGATTAAACAGATCCTGGCGCAGGCAAACACGACTCTGCGTCAGAGAGGACACGGTTCTGAGCAGCTGTCATTTCGCTGGAGCTTGTTTACACAAAAAAATGTTGATTTTGGGAGTGAGGCTCTATGGCTTAAAAAGTCTTTGAATCAATATTTCACTGTTTGCAAATGGCGAGCAACACTTTCCTCTTTCTCTAACAGTTACATGCGTTAATTCTTTCAGATGTCTCCTGAAAATGACTGATTGGATCAGCAGGTGTGGTGGCGAGAGGCTGTACCTGGGGTGATGTTGAGCAGTTTGCAGGCGGTTTCGATGTCCTTCAGAACTTCCCCAACAACCATGCTCTGGACCTGCTCCAGAGACCGCTCCTCCTCCTGCCCTTCCAGGCCCGGAGAGAGGCCTTGCTCCTGGCTATCGATGACGGGGCACTGCTCCGGTTCCTCCTGGCTCTCCATGCGATTCATGGGCCCAGCAAGTGTCGGGGAGGCTTCTGAAACTTTCACCAGCCATGTAGCATCTTCAGTGAGGAGCATGTCATAACAGGGGAAGTAGAGGCCTGGGACGCCCCGCTCCAGGGCTTCTATGTTCGGTTTGGTTTCAACCATCTCCCACGGATCTTCAGTTCTGTTTCTCTCCAGGAGGACGAGGGAGTCCGCTGTCATCCCGATCCGGGACCCAAACTCTTCACCTTCAGATAAACAGCTCACTGGGTGTGACATGACAGCTTGCTAAAAAGAAGGCAGATTAGGATGCAAACGTTAAAAACATCTGCAAAAGTCCCCTTTTAAAAAGGCTAAACCAGCAGCTATTCTGTATAACTCCATCAGATGTATTCGTGAGGTGAGATTGTGCCGAACGACGCTTTTATAGGAACCCCCAAGTTCTAATCGTGAAAGCACTCTGAAGGGAGTTCAAACACGCACACAGCGCTGGCAGGCATGGGGCAAAATGGATTTGACTGAGTCTCTTATTTGAGGGTCAGTGGCCCAGAATGGTTCATGTCTTGGGGGTAGGTGACTTGTATTGAGCCTTGAGGCGACTCAGCCTCCTGTTTGGGCTTTCAAGGTGCCGTCTCTGCAGCCCTCTGTCTCCAGTGTCAGCTGGAGATTTTAATCAAATAGAAGTTAGATAACACCAAGGGGCGTGCACAAAACCTGCTTTAAATCCCACGTTTCAAAACCAGCTGAAACATCTGTTTTAGTGAAGCCAACAGAGAAAAGGTTGTGACCATTGTAATCAAAAGTGAACATTTACGGATGCAAACTGTTGCAAGAGTGCAATATGGTACCAATATTACCTGCCTGCCACAGCTGGCATATGGGAAGACACAACACTGTCACACATCAGGTTGTGGCTGAAGTGGCAATAAAGGAAGCACGGAGCACATGTTTATCGGAAGATGTGTCCAAGGATAAGCAACCCAAGTGTCGTAAAATTAGAGAAAACATTATTTTATGCCCCATCAAGTCCAACATCTCTTAAGGGATGAGTTTGACATGAAGGGGTATGACAATTTCATAAGGGTTTGTTTGGTTTTCAGACATAAAAGTTCCTCAGAAATAATGTAAAAGTGTGAGTCATGTTCCGGTCATGGTATCACAACAATGTTTACACTTTAATCATACTTTAAGAGCAGAAAAACATATGTAGTCTCAGCATCTAAAAACTTTACATCTGAAAAATAAGATATATACCAATTACTTAGACTTAGTTCCTCCGGCGCCTACTGGCGCATTGGGCGCAAAGTAATCGCCAGCGAGCTCTGTCGGCCGCGACGGCCTCGGCTTCATCCCATGACAGGTTCACGGCACGTAGGTCTTCGATAAAAGTTCTGCGCCATGTGATTTTTGGCCGTCCTTGTTTCCGTTTTCCGCGTCCTGCGGTCCACAGCATGGCCACTTTTGGTATGCGTGTTTGAGCCATTCGTAGCACATGGCCCCCAAACCGAAACCGTCGCTCTGCAACGACCTCAGCGAGTTGGCGTGTTCCCGTTTGGTGGTGGATCGCTTCATTCGTGATGTGGTCGAGGTAGGAAATGTGAAGGATGCGCCTGAGGCATCGTTGTTGGAACGCATTGAGGCGCTGTGTGATGGCCGCTGTCGACCTCCATGTCTCACTCCCGTATATGGCGGTTGGAATGACGATCGTGTTGAATAGGCGGATTTTTGTTTGTAGCCCGATGGACCCAGACGCCCAGACTGTCTGTAGCCGCTGGAACACTGCCGCTGCCTTTCCAATGCGACATGTGACGTTGCGGTCCGTGCCACCATCTGATGTGACTATGCTTCCCAAGTAGGTGAATTCATTTACCTCTTCAAGCCGTTGTTGGCTTGGTATACCAATTAGCAGGATTTAAAATGTTATTGTTTATTTGCTAAAACATGGAAAATCAAAACCAATTTCTCTAAAATCCAAATACATTCCACATAGAGTACGATATTTTTCTGTTAAACCCACAGAACTAGCATCGTAGCAGCTTTAGTCATTTTGACTCTGTTTAAAGAACAACTAAAAACACTAAAGGTGCATTAAGAGTCATTGGTTATGTGGTTTCTGCAGCCCATTTTCAAAACACACAAGTGACTTTCTCACTGCTGTTCCGTGAGTTTCGTGGCTGTTGCTAGCTACGGATCGATATTAGAGTAAAACAAGGATGTCGGGCTTCTTAAGCCGGGCATACACTGTGTGACTTTTTCACTTTTTTGAGCCAATTTTCCACTCGTGCGAGAATCCACAAGATCGGGGCGAGTTTTGCGCTGAGCGTCGTGTAGTATACAGGAGGTTACGAGAGGCGATTAACACCACGTGACCAGCTACCGATCAGCAATCATTAGCTCACTCTGACTTCTGGAGTGTTTGATATTTTGCTCGTTCCTCATGAGGGTTGAAGCAGCGCAGCGAGCGGCTGCAACCCAAAAAGTACCAGAACCGCTCACGGCGCATGCGCAATAATGCATCAACACCGCTCACCCGCTATTTCCCTAATAACACACGTTGTTCATTTTTATTTCTAAATGTTTTTTTTTACACACAGTGACAAGAATTGTCAAGATTGTCGTGTTCGTGTCAAATTAAACTGATCACAAAACACAGATTTACTTTCTTTATTTCGTTTTTCTCATCCAACCCCATAAATCCCTGTGTGTCCTCCTGCAGCACTCCCGAAGGACAACAGGCAAAACAAGACAAAACAGTCTGATGTGTTGTGTAAAAACTGCTATTTTTAGCATTTTTTTAAAGTCTGACGTGTTGCTACCAGACGTACAGTGTGAGCAGTCAGGTCGCATCCGAGAACTGGGTCATGCAGTGTGAGCACATGACTCATGAGATCTGCCCTGCGAGGAAGCCGTACAGTTTGAGCTGAAGCTGAGTGCTACGAGTGAAAAAGTTGCACAGTGTCCGCCCAGCTTTATGGGTACAAGAAATAAATTCAGGGTCGCTCCTGTTTACTGGCTTAGAATGTTTACAAATTCCGGCTGCATTTTAGCCGGTCGGTATCGAACTACAAATATTGGTGCTGCTGCGTTAGCTCACGGAATCTGCAACCTTGCGCATTCACAGAGTGTAAAGAAAGATTACATCCTTTCTCGATCTTTTCTTAAAATAGAAAAACTGACAACCCCCAACCGGCTGAGAATGTAATCTGTTTCAACATAACCTTCCTTCCAACATGATTGAGACATTAGGCAGTTTGGGGCTGTAGAATTCTTACATATTGTACCTTTAATATCCTGCAAAAACTTTGGTAACACTTTAAAATAAGGGTGCCTTGATTAACTTTGTGCAAAATTAAGCATTAATGAACAAATAACTCATTTATTAACATTACCAATATTGTTAATATTAAGTGCCCTTATGGTTAGGACAACAGGCTAAGTGTGTGTGTGTGTGTGTGTGTGTGTGTGTGTGTGTGTGTGTGTGTGTGTGTGTGTGTGTGTGTGTGTGTGTGTGTGTGTGTGTGCTTAGTAATGCATATTAACATTGATATTAAGCAGTTGTTATTACTCTGCTTAATCATTTATTAATGCTTAATAATGCACTAAATAACATTAATAAAGGGACCCTTTATGCAAAGTGTTACAAAAATATTTGTAAAACACGCAAACACCTAGTTCTCAGCCTCCAAAACTTTATATCTGCAAAATTTAGCAAGCAACTTTGTTTGTTTTTTGCTTGTTTATTTTTACAACTCCAACAAATTCTAATATATTCAACACAGAGAATAATATGTTTTCAGTTAAAGTCTTTTACAAGTTTTTACCAGGAGATTTACATCAGATTTTTCTTATGGCCACATTTTTCCACACATTTCTTTCTTTTTGCTTACTTTAAATGAAGTTATCATTGCAACCCACGTCCCCAAAAAGGTCCCCGACACCCCAGCTGTAAATCCTCCTCCCTGGTCTTCCTTTTATTTCTAAACTTCCCAAAATCTCTAACCCATCCTCCCATCCACTCCATCAGGAGTCAGATTAAAAGCCTCTGGCATCCCAGGTCTGCTGCTGAGTGTCAACGCCACCCTGCAACAGCTTGCACTAAACCCATTAGCAAAGCAAATTTAGCCATATTACCTTTTTCCAAAAGGAAGAGGAGACGGGAAAACGAAGAGCCAAACTCACCCCCCAAAGAGAGAGGGATTAAGACCCTGACTGATCTCTAAATGAGTTTGGTCAAGACACTGATACTCATTTCAGGAGCATTAGGGCTCGCTCCATTTACCGAGTCGGCCACCAAAGGAAAGGAACTCCCTTTAAAGCAGGCGCCCCTCCTGAGAAGGGGATTTTTTCATTATTATTATTTACATTTGGTTTCATTGAACATGAGAAGGAGACAAAAATTACCTTTTAAACCAAAAAATAGGAAAGAAATGACCAACTGAAGCTGTGTGTTTTATTGTCTTTGGAATCAAACAGCATAAGAAAAGAAAAGTCTCACATTGAGACAAAGATCTGAGGACCTGTGGAGCTTTAAACTAACCCACAAGCTGATTCATCATTGCTGCTGCTCACAATTTATGCCTGAATTAAAGCTAATGAGTAGGGATTAAAGCAGCTGAAACACAGAGTGGTGTTCAACATGGATGCTCCATCACAGATGAGATTTAAAATGGAAGGGTTGTCCTCTGGTGTTGTTTGAGTCTGGAGTTAAGGGAGTGCGTACAGCCAAGCGTGACTGTTTGCCATGTGTGACGGTTAAAGGGAGATCTTTTCTCTTTTTTCTTTGACTTGTTATTGTTACTCATGGGAAACCCGAGCCAACGAAGGAAATGATTGTTCCCAGAACAAGGATGAAGGAAGAAGTTTTTATCTCAGTGTGAAGCTTCACCGTGGTTGCTGGGAAGAGAGTCTGCTGGTTGGAGGAAACGATCTGTGTTTGTCAATTAGTAGCCTTGGGCCGTGTTTATGACACCAGCAACAAGTGCAGCTGCTCTGTTCTGATATGTTCTGTGGGGTACCCCAAGGCTTTGTTTTGGGTCCACTCTTGTTTCTACTGTACATACACCCTCTTGGACAGGTAACTGATTTTTTTCATAATGTCTATTATCACCTATATGCAGATGATATTCAGCTGTACTGTTCTTTAAGCACTCTGAGTTCTATAAACTGTCTGAATTACTAGAGTGTCTCTCAGGTATCACCAGCTGGCTAGAAGACAACTTCCTTCAACTCTGAAAAGACTGAATGTCTGATCATTGCCCCTGAGAGCATGGTTACCCTAATAGAAGAGCATGTCACGCATAATCCAGAGGGACATCAGGTGCTCTGACAGCCCATGGGACATCAAATGTAGAGGAGAAAGAATGGCTGGAGCAAACTGGTCCTGAGTACTCTAATAGGTGCAAACAAACAGAACGAATCTTTCGACAGGTTATGTCTTCCTGAGAGCATGGTTACCCTGATCAGTCAAAAACTTGGTCATTTATCTTTTGCCATCAAGACAAACTTGAGCAATTTGGGTGTTTTTGACCAATCAATGTCTCTTGAAAACCACCCAAAAACATTGGTCCCAAACTGTTTTTATTGCTAAAGAAACATCTCCAAACTGCGAAGGTTGGTGTCAAAACATGAACTTGAAATGGTTCTCCATGCCAATATCTCCCGCCTAGATTACTGTAACACACTCTTCACATGTTTTAACAAAAAAGCCCTTCACCACCTTCAGTTGGTCCAGAACTCTACAGCGAGGTTCCTAACTGGGGCAAACAGAAGAGCACACATCACTCCTATTCTAATGTCTCTGCACTGGTTACTCATTAGCTTAGAGTTCATTTTACAATCCTGACTATAACTTTCAAGGATCTACATGGTCAAGCTCCTCCCTATATTACTGAACTGTTAAAGCCTTATGCTCCAACTCGAGCCCTCAGGTCCACACACCAGAATCTTCTAGAAGTTCCACAGACCAGATATTTACATTCATATTTTATTTTCTTATTTTGAACTCGAATTTGTAATCATCTTTCATTAGTTTTATGGTATTTTATAATTTTGTGACTTTGTTTTTATCATTATGATTTTATGATGTTGTTATTTGTTTTGTTTTGATCTATGTGAAGCACTTTGTGACCTTCTGTCTTTGATGAGTGCCATATAAATATAATGTACTTACTCCATTCACATTACGATTAAAACGTAGGGGACTGTTTCTTCGCCAGTCCTTCTCTACCTGTCCCCACTTTCTACTTCACACCCTCTACGTGGGTTGTGTTAACTGCCATTATTGGAATGATGTTGATTCATTTCTGTTGTCAGGCGCAAAGGCCTGAGGTCAAAATTGCTAGAGACTTGTTAAATCAGTCTGTGGGATGTTCTTACAAAGAAATACACCTGCCATCAGCTAAACTTTGTGATAAATGTCACCAGGTGCCTCTACAGAAAGATCAAAGGTGCTTACTCTCATCAAAATTTACATATTTCTGATTATTGCTATCTCCAGCATCAGCCTTAGAACAGATGTTCTGCACAAAGGAAGTTGAGATGCGGAGAAAGGGACATGCATCTTATTCTGTATTTGAAACACCCGTAAATGCATCCAAATGAGAACAAAGCAATAAAGAAAAACTCTTCTTTCAGAATAAAAATTAAAGTCAACCACCAGAAGTGATCAACGCCATGAACAAACACGGATTTGCATCAATATAGGTTTAAAAGATTCATCAATCATCATCAGTAATTAGTGGAGCACCAAAGTTGTTCACGGAAAGTTCAAACATCCCCACGAATGAAGATGAAATGTTGTTTCTGCTTATTTGATGTTTGGATGATGTCATTGCATCTATTTGCTCCCTAGCATGAAGTCTCTTTAATACTGTCATGAATGGTAAAGGAACAGGGAAAAAATTGGTGTAAGAAAATTTGACTTTTTCTTTCTTCATTCTTATATTTTATTGTTTGTTTTTTTTAAATAAAAGGGGTCATTCTACTTTTCTTAGTCTAAATTTGTCTAAAAATAAAAGTTTTCTGTGATGTTTATTGTGCAGAATAATTCCTATAATAGATACCCAGGTGTTATGTTGATCGAGAGAACAGCATAGCACCAGCATCCCATCCAGTTCTGTTATTTCTGTTTGTCATAAGTTTTGTCCTACAGCGAGGGAATTACCCGCAATAGTTTATCGCCAGCTTTGATCTAAATCCAAATTCTATCTCTTGTCTTAATCTAGACAGTGAAGACAAATGTGTTTTACATTTTTTAACCCCTAGAACAGGTTTTGGTGGTCTGGCAGCTGTTATCAAACCACATCTGTAATTTGATCAGTCTGAGTAAAAGCTAACAAAAAGTCAACTTCTTACATGTTTTTTTTAATTAGGTACTGGGAAAGACCCTATCTGGAATTATCATGAGACCACCTTCATTATTAAATTTTTTTTTGAAGAGGATATATATATATATACTAATATACATAGTATAAAAAATTTTTTAATGAACCCAAACTGGTCATATTACTTATAGTGACAAACAAGCAAATAAGTAAAATCGATATTTTCTGATTTGTTTGGTGCCATGATTTTCACATATGATATCTGTAAATTTTAAAAATACATTCTGATGATAAGAAAGCGCTCATTTTTGACTGGGGGCAAAATTTATTTTAAGTTTTGTGTGAAAATAAGTCCAGGACTACAAATGTGCATTACCAAAGTGACTTTATCAAACTTCGAATACATTGTCCAGGAGGAAATCAACCACCATAAATCTCACCATGTGGTAAGTAGCAGCTACGCTAGGGGAGAGGAGACTCTGTGGTGATATCATATATGCGATGTACCGTTGCCTGATTTGTAGTCATGCTAATTACAGACTTTTACAAGCTGATAAATCTCAAAGTACATGACAGGCATGGTCAAAACACACATCATTACTTTTCATTTAAATTCAGGGCATAAGGCAAAGCGTATTCAAAAATAGATCTTTTAGTCCCGTTGACTTACAGTCATGTTTTTGTTCTTCCGGGGCCCCATGAACCGACCAGAAAGAGAGGAGACTTGGGCTCCCTATCCCATGCTATTTCAGTAATTATTATTTTTATTTTTGTGGGTGGGGGGGGGGGGTGGGGGGGGGGGGGGGGGGTGTCTGTGCAACAATTAGTTCAACATATTCTCACACCCGAAGCGGCTAAAATTGACAAATGAAGTGAGAATGTGTTGATTAGTTATTATTATATAGTTAGCGTTATGCTGTTGTTGCAGGATGTGTTGCCCATTTTTGGGGGTTGACACCTGGAAGATGAAATTATGATGATGGCATCATCTACAGTAAGGACATTAGAATGTAATTATCAATATGATGAAAAAACTCCCAGCAAATTACGATAAATTAAATAAATAACTAAACAAATAAAAATCTGCTTTATTTCAGGGCTGAGGCATCTTACCTCTTTAAAGATGCTCTGACGCTTCCAATCGATGGGATGTTAAGATGCTACTTGAGGTCGGAGGTGAAGCAGACAGCAGGGACTCCTCAGTCCACTTCCTCCTGAGGTCTGATGCTGAGCTCCCAGGCTGAGGCCCCAAAGCCCACTAAAAGACCTTTTGGCAGAATTATACGTAACCTGAAAGACGCAGCCTAAAGCCCAAAGCACAACTGCAGATGAAAGCTTCAGTGAAAGCACCTGCTGGGGGTGTGTGCAGAGAGTAAGACAAAGCAAGTGACTCGGTGACTGCGTGTGAAGGAATTCCAGCAGACTGCAGTTTATATTTATAGGGCAGTCCTGTTTACTTACCAAGGCTTGAGTGTGTGTGTGTGTGTGTGTGTGTGTGTGTGTGTGTGTGTGTGTGTGTGTGTGTGTGTGTGTGTCCATGGGTAGGTTCAGAACTGCAGCAGTTGACCTGAGTTATTAAGGTGAAGCAATTCAAAGTTATAAAAGATGATTGAACACAGAAGAACCCCTTAAAGGTGAAGAAAATGCAACCATTCAAAACCATTTTCTCCTCCTCCTAACTCAACAAGGAGAGGAAGTTCAAATATTATGGTTGAAAAAAAAAACTTCAAGGAATAATTAGACAAATAATGACGTGAAGAAAAGGAAATATTTAATCAGAAGGATTATTAATGGAGAGTTCCGCTTAATAACAGTGGCCTAGTGGTAGAGTGTCCGCCCTGAGACTGGGAGATCAGGGTTCAATTCCTGGTCGGGTCTACCAAAGACACAAAAAAAATGGGACCCAATGCCTCCCTCCTTGACACTCAGCATTACGGCATTAGATTGGGGGGTTAAACCACCAAATGGTTCCCGAGCGCGGCAGTGTCTGCAGCTCACCGCTCCCCCAGGGGATGAGTAAAATGTGGAGAACAAATTTCGCACACACATCGGTGTGTGTGACAACTAATGGAACTTTAACTTTAATAACTGAGCTTTCATTTAAATTCTCCCTGTAGGTGGCAGTATCTGCGGTAATGCGTTTCCCATTTTCAGTGTTGCACTACGTGTAGCTGTTTGGTGTTTGTGGCTTGCTAAAATTAATTAAATTTCCCTGTACTAGGATATCTCTGAGTTATTGTAGCACTTAAGCATGCTAAAACACACATTTTCTGTTGTTCCACCTAGCATTTAGGGAACCATTTGAGTTCGCACACAGTTTATTTGGTGTTGAACGAGTTGCTTGTCCAGTTAGCTTAGCCTCAGCACGGCTATGGCTACTTCTGTCTCTGCTTCTCCGCCACCTATCTCTTGTTCTCTGTGTCAGATGTTTAGTTACTCCTCCGCCTCCTTTAATGATAATGGTACCTGTAATAAATGTAGCGTTTTTGTAGCTTTGGAGGCGAGGGTGTCGGAATTAGAGGCCCAGCTCCACACTGTTGAAAAGCCCGTAGATAGCCGTAGCTTCTTAGATAGCCGTAGCTTCTTAGCTAGCGTGGGACTAACTAGCTCAGAACCACCCCGTAGCAGTCCTCCAGCAGAACCCGAGCAGCCGGGACCTCAGGCCAGCTGGGTGACGGTATGCAGGAAGCATAGAACCCAGCCCGTGGGACACCACCAACCCGTCCACATTTCTAACAGATTTTCCCCACTCAGTGACACACCCACTGACAAGCCATCTCTGATCAATGGCAGCTCCATAGTCAGAAACATAGCATTAGAGACTCCAGCAACCAAAGTTAAATGTTTACCTGGGGCCAGAGTGGGCGACATTAAATCTTACCTGAAAGTACTGGCTAAGGATAAGCGTAAATACAGTAAGATTGTTATTCACGCTGGGTAATGACACCCGGTTACGCCAATCGGAGGTCACTAAAATTAATGTTGCTTCGGTGTGTAAGTTTGCCAAAACATTGTCAGACTCCGTAATTTTCTCTGGCCCCCTGCCTGATCGGACCAGTGATGAGATGTTTAGCTGCATGTTGTCCTTCAACCGCTGGTTGTCTAGGTGGTGTCCTGAAAACAACGTGGGCTACATTGATAATTGGAAAACTTTTTGAGGAAAACCTGGTCTGATGCGGAGAGACGGCATCCCTCTTTGGATGGAGCAGCTGTTCTTTCTAGGAACATGGCCAGTTTTATTAGTCCTCCTTGACAACCCAGGGTCCAGATCAGCAAGCAGAGTTGTAGTTTAACCCACCCCTCTGCAGCTTCTGTACTGTTACCCACCCACTACCCCATTGAGACAGTGTCCTGCCCACAGCCAAAACCACACAGATTAAATATCAGGCTTAATAAAGCAAATCATGGAAATCTCATAAATATTAGAACAAATTCAGCTGAGCAGAAAACTAGAATAATTAAATGTGGGTTATTGAGCATTAGATCTATTTTTCTAAGACTTTGTTAGTTAATGACTTGATTTGTGATAATCACATTTCTTTGCTCTTTCTCACAGAATGTTGGCTGCAGCAAAAGGACTATGTTAGCTTAAATGAGACGACTCCTTCTAAATATTTAAATCATCATATTGCTCGAAGTACAGGGCGAGGAGGACAAGTAGCAACCATTTTTCATTCAGACCTATTAATCAATCCCTTACCAAATAATAGTTACAGTTCTTTTGAACATCTTATTCTTAGTTTTCCTAATCCAGATTGCAAAACTGTAAAACCACTCTTGTTTGTAGTTTTATATCGTCCACCAGGCCCGTACTCTGAGTTTTTGGATCAGATCTCTGATTTTTTATCTGATTTGGTGCTAAATACTGATAAGGTCAATGTAGTGGGGGATTTTAACATTCGTGTGGACATTGAAAATGATAGCCTCAATGTAGTGTAACAGAGATGAAAATGTGAATTTCACCAAAAGTAATGTGCAGTGATTGTTTGTGTTTTTGGAGCCGCCTACTGGTGGTTAGGCGCAACTGCATGCAACGGGTCCTTCAGGCGCATTCACAGCCCCTCCCACCAAAGCAGTAATGAAAGCTGGTGGAGGTAGGTGTACTGTGAAGCCGCTCTGCACTTTAAGTCATTTTAACCTTTAATTAATATATCAATAGGACTTGTTACAGATATTTAAGTGTTGTTAGAGCATATTTTGAAAAAGGTTAGCTGTGTTTGCATTAAATTAATAACTTTATAGACGAGATTCACACTAATGGAAGCTAGCTTTTCAGTCCTTTTAGTAATGTTTGGGTTTTTTTCTTTTTGCCTTGAACAGACCGTTGTATGCAGTTGCAGCGCACACACACTGATGTATTATTGTGTGCTTGTTTTTACATCAGGTACGTTCAGATGTGTTTGGTAAAAATATGATTTGTAAATGTTTTATTGTTTCAACTGCCGGTGGCAGTTGACTGTTATACCTACTGATGGCAGTTAACTGTTTCAACTGTCGGCGGCTGCGCTGCCATTGTTGGTACTATTAACTATTTTATATGTTTTATCAAAAAGAAAGTATGTATTGCTCTGAAATGCAAGTTGTTAAATTAATATATTGCTGTTGTTATTAAATGCCACTATACGATCATATGATGGAAAAAAAAGGAAAAGCAGTAATGAAAGCTGGTGGAGACCGTTGTATGCAGTTGCAGCGCACACACACTGATGTATTATTGTGTGCTTGTTTTTACATCAGATCCTGCCAGTAAAAAGCTCTGAAGGACAGTCCTGTGTCTGTGGCCTGATTGTATGTGTGCGGTGATTTGAGGCAACTCCAATAACCCTGGACGGACAACAAGAGGAAGCCGTCACACTGGTGCCGTGACTCCCGGATTGCTGAGCAGCTTGATGCGGTTCACCGGAGGTTACTGTGTCGTCTACCTGCAAGTTACCTCTTCACTTCAAGACCTCCACAATTGGGTCACAAGGTTTATGAACTAAGGGAAACAGTAGTTCTATTTCTAATTACCACTGGATTTTAATTGAGTGTGTTTTATTTCTGCTTTATCTTAACATGGCAAAGAGATTTGAACCAAGTGGTAAAACTGTGAACAGTCACCCCTCTTTTGGGAGAGGTAGAGGTGTAATGGGACTTACTTTTCAGCCCGGTTGTGCTGTTGGGTTTGATTTGGGTGCATCACCTATACTACCTGCGAGTAGCAGTAAACCCCAGGGATTAGCTCGGGATCCAGATGAGACACCTACTGGTCAGATGTTATTTGGGGGCCAGAGTCACTCAACACCTGTTGTTGGTAATGACTTACACCAAATAAGTGACATGATTTATCAGTTAGGTTCACAGATTGGGGAATCAATTGCAAATAAACTGTTATCTTCTGGCGTTGCTGGGGGAAAAGAAGCCTGTGGTACCTGTCAGAAACAGGACAGTGCCAATGTTGAGGACGCTTCTGTCTCAGATGGTCAAAGGTTTAATGTCATTGTAAAATCAGAAACCTCACCTGCAGTTTTCAAAGGTGACAATTCTGACAAGTACACTGTTACTGAGTGGGTTGAAATGATGAGAGGTTACCTTAGACGGCAGAACTATGATGTTTCTATGCAAAAAGAGGAAATTATGGGGAAGTTGATGGGTAGAGCCAGAGATGTAGTTAAGATTGGCCTTAGAAGTTATCCTGCCTTAAATGCTACATCCTCCCCAGATGTAATTTATAACATGCTGATACAGTACTTCAGTAACACATCCTCCTGTCTGCCTCTACAAGATTTCTACTCCACACTGCCACTCCAGAAAGAGGATGCTGTTGATTACTGGATTCGCCTTAATAAGGCTGCAGACATGGCTGAGGAAGGTCTGAAGCGTCAAGGGAAGCGCATTGAGGATATTGGTAGCGAAATTGCTAAAATGTTTGTAAAGCACTGCCCTGATACAGAACTAGTTTCAGTGTTTAAGTACAAACAGATTCATGAGTGGACCCCCAAAGACATTCAGGAGAGGCTAGATGAACACCAAAGAGAGCGATTGTCCAGTATTAAAACACCAATGCACAAACCATCTGCAGCCCAATTACTATGTTTTGAGACACACGTTGAGCCCAGAGTCTCCAGTAATGTACATATGCCTGATGGTGTTCTGCTCCATCATGTTGTGCAGCCAACCACTGAAACTCCTTTATCCTATGCACCTGCGATGGTGCAGAACCAGCAGTTCCAAGGTGATTCAGTTACTCCAGCTGCACAGACATGTTTTCCTTCCCTACAGCCTATGAAGCAGCAGAGTAAATGTACAGAAGTGCAATGCCAGTTCCAGTCTCCAGCTTCTGCCCCACTCAGTCAGCCACAAGAGGGCGCCATGCTTGGTGACATAGTGTCGATGCTCAGGGAGCTTCTCACCAAAG